GCCTCATTTATACTTTTGTAGCAACACTATTTTTATATAATGGCAAAGAAAGGGTTCAGAGTCTTTTCTTTGTTCCTGTGTCATATGTGGCAGCACTGTTCAATGTTTCTTGAAAACATTACCCACTGTAGTGACGTGTGAATAAACTCCAACTCTGTATCAACAGCACTGTTGTGTAACTTCAGTTAAATACTTGTATGTGTGTAGATTAGAAAGAGGTGAGATAAAGGATCTGCAGTATTTTATGAAGTATTCATCGTACAAAGGTCAGTTTTATACAAGTAGAAGTGTGTATGTACCTGGTAGGAGGCTGTCAGTAATGGCTACGCCTCTCTATTTGGACTGGTAGATCTCGGCAGACTGGCAACTTTAAAAGTAGCTCTCGGTTCAAAAAAGGTTGGGCACCCCTGCCCTATACTATAATGCTCAGTTTCAGGTTGATATTAGTATTCAGTGTCTCTACTGTGACATGTCTCTATACTGATCAAAAGGCTCTTTATTTTTCTCATACGTCATTTGTCAGCTGGAAATACACCTCTATCGCATCTCTCTAAATATCACTGAACAGAGTGGATTCCCAAAATGTAGTTATTTGCCTGAAGTAAATAGAACAAATAGGCACTACAGAAGTATTCACCATGCAAGTTATTATCATATCTATGTACATAACAATCTCAAGAAATACACTGAAGCAGTCAGATTTAAAAATACTGCGACAGTAGCCCACATATTCAAGTTTCTAAAAATAGAACTCTTTCTACCCACAGACCTTTTACAACGAGCTTTAGACATTAAACAAATGGAGATTAAAGAGCATGGCGAGTAAGCGAGGTTTTGAGTGTTATACCTTAGAAGTAAGACACTTTAGACAATCCTGCTTCCCCTAAGTGTCGGCTCAAATACGAAGCTAATCCAGGAGCTGATTTCAAAGCTGAAACAGGGGGGGAAAGCTTACTTGTATTAATGTATAAAAGGTATTTTAGCCACCCATAGTATGAGTATTATTTTAATATTTTCACCGTGCAAAAAGACGCCCCTTTCGACTGGGAAGCTGTTAATTACGCTCACTGGAAATCCACCGGACTCCAACTGTGATTTTACATCAGGAGCAGCTGGTTTACTTCTGCCATGATGAGTCAGTTTGTGTGTGTTATTAAGGACTCTAAAGGGGTTCATTTGGATTCACAAATTAGCACAATTACACAATCAACTAACCAATCAGGAAGCAGTAAACCAGCTACTTCCTCAATTCAGCGAGGTTCAATTAGTGTTGTTGTCAATGGAGCCTGGAGGCTTAAAATAGAGCATCGATAATGGCTTCAGTTCCTCGTTGGAAAAGGGCTTTTTCTAAATATAGCGTCCACTTAAACTGCATTTGATTGGTTTAGGTGGGTCGTTAGCAGAGGTGGGAAGTAGTGGAGTACAAATACTTTGTTACTGTACTTATTTTTCTGGTATCAGTACTTTACTCCACTGCTTATTTTTCTGACGACTTTTTACTTTTACTTCTCACATGTTGAACACAAATACCTGTACTTTCTACTTCTTACATGTTGAACTCAAATACCTGTACTTTCTACTTCTTACATGTTGAACACAAATACCTGTACTTTCTACTTCTTACATGTTGAACCCAAATACCTGTACTTTCTACTTCTCACATGTTGAACTCAAATACCTGTACTTTCTACTTCTTACATGTTGAACCCAAATACCTGTACTTTCTACTTCTTACATGTTGAACTCAAATACCTGTACTTTCTACTTCTTACATGTTGAACACAAATACCTGTACTTCTACTTCTCTCATGTTGAACCCAAATACCTGTACTTTCTACTTCTTCCATGTTGAACTCAAATACCTGTACTTTCTACTTCTTACATGTTGAACACAAATACCTGTACTTTCTACTTCTTACATGTTGAACACAAATACCTGTACTTTCTACTTCTTACATGTTGAACACAAATACCTGTACTTTCTACTTCTTACATGTTGAACACAAATACCTGTACTTTCTACTTCTTACATGTTGAACTCAAATACCTGTACTTTCTACTTCTTACATGTTGAACTCAAATACCTGTACTTTCTACTTCTTACATGTTGAACTCAAATACCTGTACTTTCTACTTCTCTCATTTTCCAAACAGCTGGTTCCTTTAGTCTGAATGTGTGTTTGATGCGTGATCATTATTATTTAGAGTCATTGCGTGCCTATTGATTTGAACACGATCCGTGTATCCATCATTTCCTGGTCTTCTCTAAAGAAGAGGGACCAATGGAAACGTTGTCATGTTGCCGTTGTTCAGCATGGAAACATTCATTAGCTAACAATGACATTATTGTTCTATTAATATAAAGGGAGGTCAGGTACTCTTTAAAGCAGCTGCTAGTTATGGGTACTTTTTACTGAAGTACATTTCAAAGCCTCTTTACTTTCACTTGAGTAAAGAAGTTTAGTCAGTACTTCTACTTTCACCAGAGTATTTTTAAACACGAGTATCTGTACTTCTACTTGAGTAAAGGATGTGTGTACTTGTGTGTGTGTGTGTGTGTGTGTGTGTGTGCGTGTGTGTGTGTGTGTGTGTGTGTGAAAGTGCTAATTTCAGTGTCAGTCAGGCTATGGGGAAAGACAAAGACAACATATGATTACAACTGTGTATTTTGAATGGTACAGTATTAAAATGACCACTAAATAATTCATTATAACGATATGTTCGTACCGTCACCTTTCAGCACCCTGCTGTTCTGCAGCAGGGAGAATAATGAGGGCAGAAACAGACGATCAGCCTCACGTTGCTCAAACAGCTCCCAATACATTTAATGAAGCAACCTTTCCCACACGCCAAAAGCTGCGTGAGGAAAACAATAAAGGCGTTTGATCCTGGCACTGTAAAACCTTTGAGATGTGCATCCTCCACAGATTCTGATTGTTTATCAAAGTGATAATGACCAATTCTTCCTGGAAAAACTTTCCTCCGTGAACGCAGAGTACTTCCTATTACCGGCCGTATTGTTTTGTGAGTTTGTGTGCATCACAATGGCAATAAGTGTTCCTGGAGACACACATAAGTACACATTTGGGATACCTGTACTTTACCTGAGTATTCATGATCCTTTTCAGGTGTATATCAGTATGTAGTGTCTCTACTTTAAAGAGTCCTCTCCTGCTGATGTCCAGGTGTATATCAGTATGTAGTGCCTCTCCTTTAAAGAGTCCTCTCCCGCTGATGTTCAGGTGTATATCAGTATGTAATGTCTCTACTTTAAAGAGTCCTCTCCTGCTGATGTCCAGGTGTATATCAGTATGTAGTGCCTCTCCTTTAAAGAGTCCTCTCCCGCTGGTGTTCAGGTGTATATCAGTATGTAATGTCTCTACTTTAAAGAGTCCTCTCCTGCTGATGTTCAGGTGTATATCAGTATGTAGTGTCTCTACTTTAAAGAGTCCTCTCCTGCTGATGTTCAGGTGTATATCAGTATGTAGTGTCTCTACTTTAAAGAGTCCTCTCCTGCTGATGTTCAGGTGTATATCAGTATGTAGTGTCTCTACTTTAAAGAGTCCTCTCCTGCTGATGTTCAGGTGTATATCAGTATGTAATGTCTCTACTTTAAAGAGTCCTCTCCCGCTGATGTTCAGGTGTATATCAGTATGTAATGTCTCTACTTTAAAGAGTCCTCTCCTGCTGATGTTCAGGTGCATATCAGTGTGTAGTGTCTCTATTTTAAAGAGTCCTCTCCTGCTGATGTTCAGGTGTATATCAGTATGTAGTGTCTCTACTTTAAAGAGTCCTCTCCTGCTGATGTTCAGGTGTATATCAGTATGTAGTGTCTCTACTTTAAAGAGTCCTCTCCAGCTGATGTTCAGGTGTATATCAGTATGTAGTGTCTCTACTTTAAAGAGTCCTCTCCTGCTGATGTTCAGGTGTACATCAGTATGTAGTGTCTCTACTTTAAAGAGTCCTCTCCTGCTGATGTTCAGGTGTATATCAGTATGTAGTGTCTCTACTTTAAAGAGTCCTCTCCTGCTGATGTTCAGGTGTATATCAGTATGTAGTGTCTCTACTTTAAAGAGTTCTCTCCTGCTGATGATCAGGTGTATATCAGTATGTAGTGTCTCTACTTTAAAGAGTCCTCTCCTGCTGATGTTCAGGTGTATATCAGTATGTAGTGTCTCTACTTTAAAGAGTCCTCTCCTGCTGATGTTCAGGTGTATATCAGTATGTAGTGTCTCTACTTTAAAGAGTCCTCTCCTGCTGATGTTCAGGTGTATATCAGTATGTAGTGTCTCTACATGTCTCCATGCTTTAATGTTCAAAAAGCTCTTTATTTCTCTCATACTGTCTGTGCTGCAGCACCTCTTTTCACCCTCTGTCTGAAACCAGAGCCCAGTCTGCTCTGATTGGCATATTTGTCTTGAATCCTTCCTTTTAGCAGAGTTAATATCCTGCAATATGACATCTTCTTACTCTTACACTTCTACTGTAAGTCGCTGTGGATGCTTGCCTCCTTTGGGGAGATTTGTCCAAGCGGTTGGTCAGATTATGCAGTTAGAGTCCTATAACAATGCAAAGCTACCCGACCATAAAAGACTCAAATGCTCACTGCTTTAAGTCCACTGTGTGACACTTAAAATAAAGCTGTTTGTACCGGGTCTGCAATTTCCCAGAGGGCACAAAAGGCAATGAAAAAAGGTTGCACTCTCAATAAATAACCTCTCTTTAAATGTAATCTAGCTTAATTGTGTTCAAATGCATCGTGTCCCCCTTAGCCAAGGTCAGTAATGGGTTGCAATTACCCAGTTAGCTTGAAACTTTGTGCCGACAAACCAGAAAGTTGGCTACAACTAGTGTGTGTGTGTGTGTGTGTGTGTGTGTGTGTGTGTGTGTGTGTGTGTGTGTGTGTGTGTGTGTGTGTGTGTGTGTGTGTGTGTGTGTGTGTGTGTGTGTGTGTGTGTGTGTGTGTGTGTGTGTGTGTGTGTGTGTGTGTACGTGCTTACCCTGAAGTCGATGCCCACAGTGGAGATGAAGCTGCCGGCTAGAAAGGCTCCATCTTTGAAGCGGACCAGCAGACAGGTCTTCCCAACACCTGAGTCCCCCACCAGCATCACCTGAGACACACACACACACACACACACACACACACACACACACACACACGTCAAAACCCTGTGTGTGTGTGTTTGAAGAATGCATCGACAAAACCACAAGGCAACACACACTCCCCAAACTCTACAGAGCATCACACACTCTGCAGTGGAAGAAAGCAGACTGGATACTCTTTTTGTACCCATGATGCAACACAAACTCTCTTCACTTCTGCACCATTTAATAAGCATGTGCATGTATCTATTGCATCTGCAGCAATTTACTAAAGTCTACTGTAGATGATGTGGAAAGAAACTTAAAAAGTAAAGATTTCAGGTTCTTAGTATTTTCTTTCTGCGCACTCAATATGTCTACATGTATTTTATAGATTGAGTTTATAGCAGAGTGTGTTGAAGAGACACTCCCAGACCATTTGCATGCACTAAAACCTTTAGAACACAATAGGAAAGGGAAAACCCCCAAAAGCACAATAGGGTCTCATTTAAAGGTCCCATGTCATGCTTTTCTGGTTCTTACCCGTCCCCTTGTGTTATGAAGGTTGTTCTGCATGTAAACGGTCTGCAGAGTCACAACCCTCAAAGTACACCCTGTAGCGAGTACAACTCTAACACAGAGAAGACCTATCTGTGCTGCCCCAGAACGCCTCGTTGGACATTAATCTTTTTCTTGCGGAAGCACAAACTCCCAGCCAGGCTGCGGGTGTGTGTGTATTTCAGGCTGGGTTTCGCTGTGTCTCGCAGACGGCCACTGGGCTCCCAGGGGGGGGGGGGGGGGGGGCAGGAGCTCCAACAAGCCGTTTAGGACAGAGAGTGAATGCACATACTGTAAGAGCCAGTATTTTTGATTTGATAAGAAAGGCCACCTAATTGTGACGTCTGTAGTCAACGCACTATAAAGGACTACAATTCCCACGGCGCCTGTGCTAACGCCACAGTGATGGGCAACCTGTTGAGAGACGCCGTCGAGGAACAGTTTTTAACCGTACTCGTAACCGTACATACAAACCGTACAAGTACCCTTTAAGTTACGAAGTTATAAGCATTATCAAGAAAAAAAGAATATCTAAGTTGTGTTGTTTTATTTGAGTTTTGCCTATTTCTTTTGAATATTGTAAAGGTCTATTTTTCTTTGTTGCATGTGCAAAAGTTTGTTATTTTATTTTGAGCAAACACATCGCAACATCTTCTAAACCAGAGGTTCTCAAAGTTTTGATGAGTGAGGGCCAATTTAGGTACCCAATATTGGATTGAGGGCCGCCCAAGAAAAAACGGAACACAAAATAATTCCAAAACAAATCCTTTCTTTATTGTACTAACCAATTACCGCAACTCGCGAGATGCCTAGTTGCCATGCAACCAGTAGTCTAGCAAACTTTCCACAAGCTGTCATTCATAATTTAGGAATGACAACCCAGCGGGCGCAGTTTTACCATTCTTAAATTCCATTCTAATTCTTACTAGATACAACCATGGAGGATTAAAATATAACGCATGCATTTCAGCGTGTCACATTAACTATCGCGGGCCGCCAGAAACATTTCCGAGGGCCGCCATTGGCCCGCGGGCCGCACTTTGAGAACCCCTGTTCTAAACCATCGGAGGCCAAGCAACACTTCAAACTGTGAGTAATTTAAGGAAAGAAACAAGTTAGAACGGTCTGTTTAAGGCGTCTAGTGGCTTGGTGGAAAAACAAGGAAGCCACGACACATACTATACAGAGATGCTGTGAGAAACCAATGTGAGTTTGGAACATTGAACAATGTGAATCTATTCTAGTAGACCTCAACAATGGAATTATGATCAGTAGAAATGGCCATGACACGGGAGTCGGACCTTTAAGTATAATTCTCATTGCAGTACTTTTTACAAAATACAGTCTTTTCAGTGTAGTTTTAGTACTTCAGTGAGTTTCTTTCCACCACTGTGTGTTTGTGGAAATGTGTGACACTTAACTGTAATGTGCATTAAGTTGAAGATAATCACAGAGCAGTGATTTGGAAACAGGAACATTTGTTAATGAAGCTTCAGAATGAATTCATGCTGCCTCCCACATGGTGAGGATTTAGATTGTGTTATTATGTGCGCTGCTGCTAAACAAAAGGCTCCTCCTGCGCTGCTGCTATTGATTGGATACACAGCAGAACCTCCTTTCAATATAATTGCACTGGACCGTAGGGAACATCCCGTTCCTGTTGCAAGAACAATACTGCTTCATTGTTGCATCTGCAGTGACCGTGAGTGGAGGAACCAACATGTGAGACGAGCTTTGGGGATTCAAAATGAGGAATTTACACAACTGGGAACACAATAATCTTCATGGACGATATATGTAATTGTTCATCTCAGGACTGTGCTTCACAGGGACATAAATAAGGTGCAATTAAGAGTTTTAAACAAGCCTAATAAAGACGCAGAATATCCAGCGATGTCCACATAATCCTGCACAGGCTCATTTATGGAAGCCCATTTACACCAAGAAATGAAAAGATGAAAGGATATGCGTAATGATCCAAGTCACATCACAAGTCCGAACTATGAAATAATGAGTCCAATTTAACTGATTAGACAACATTATCAAATACCGAGTCCTTTTCTTAAGAGATGCAATGATCCGTTGATTAATCAATGAGTTGATTAACAGAACAAAACGAGTCTTCAATTTTTTTCATATTCAATGAATCATAAAAGCATTTTTTTACAAATAATGCTGTTTTATTATTATCTAGAATATGGAGATGTCCTGCTTTTCTCTGCGTTATGTAAGAGATAATGTGCAGTGAGGCGGTCATTATGGGGAAAGAGGTGTTCTTCATAATGACCGCCTCGCTGCACATTATCCCGCTTATTACATGGCCACATTCTCAACAAAGTAACGATATGACTCCCAATTTTAATTGAAATGCTTTTATAGATTTAGAAAATGTTTTTATTGATTTAAAAAAATAGTACGCTATTATTTATTTTAAACGACATGCATCCGCTAAGAAAAATAGTCCGTTGTTACTGTTTGAACTACGTAACAACGGCGGGAACTGCTTCGATAGCGGTTTTGAGGACCTTTTTGACTACAGATTTGAAAACATCGCTGCTTGCTTTAAAAGTAGCACAATTCATGATGTCAAACCTTGGGAAGTATCTAGATATCCCTGCCCTAATGCCAAAGTAACTGGCAACTGAATATGTGTCGCCGTTTGATGTCTATGTCTGGGCCGCTGGGTAAAAAAATAGGGTTCCTGCCCCGTTACTTCTCCGCAAGAAAACAGTTAAATCGAGCGGACTTCTTTGTGCAGATGTGAGCGTCCTTAACAACTGTCAATACATCTTTGACAGCGGTCTGTCTGTTCTGGATTAACAACGTGTCACGTGTTCTGAATTGACCAATCAGAATCGAGTATTCAATGTAATAAATCATATTAACACACATGCCTTTAAAAGTGACATTTCAAATACATGTATAGATATCACCTTGTACATCTTGGAAACTGGCATGACAAGCTTTTCTGAAATGTAAAAGACTGAATGTGTAATAGATATCTCGAGTGGATGGTCAACAGATTACCAACAGCTTTTCCGTTTCCAGTTTGAGAAGAAAGATAACATGAGCATCATAACTTTATGTTGTCTTTCCTTGGTGGACATAGGCTTCCATACAACCTGTCTCACAAGAACAATAGTGTCTAGGAAATCTGAAACGAACACACTTCAGTTTCTGCAAAGATATAACCTTTGGCTACTAATATTTAAACTACATTTTTCTGATGACTTAAGAAAGTTACATTTCCAAATCAGGACTCTTACATAAAACAGAGTACTTGTACTTGATTAAATCATCTAAATACTTCTTCCACCTCTCCCCTCACCAGGCGTTTCTCTGCCTGCTCACCTTGAAGGCTATATACGTTTCTGATTAATTACTTCTACTCAAGTAACATTTCCAAAACAGGGCTCTTGTAACAGAGTATTTTTACAATGTGATTTAACTACTTTTACTTCATTAAAACATCGAAATACTTCTTCCCCCTCTCCTCTCACCAGGCGTTTCTGCTCACCTTGAAGGCTATATCGTAGAACTCCCCGCTGTTGCTGATGGAGGGTCTGCTGGGATACACCAGTGCGGAGGAAGGAGCTGCTGCGGCGGCCAGACCTCTGCCAGACCTCCCGCTGATCGGAGACGCTTTGGGGCTCTTGGAGCTCCCTTTGCCTTTCACTGCCTTCTTCCTGGACATGACTGTGGAAGCAACTCCAAGCAATTCAGCGAGACAAATCAGGAGGAGAGTTTAAAATACACGAGATGTTTTTTTATGTTCTGTCAGTCCAACACTTCTCCTTGTGTTCGAGGTGCGTAATAAATTCACCTGTGCGTAAAAACCATGACTGTCTGTGCGTAAAAATGGGAATTGAATGGATGCGTAAAGCGAACAACTGTTGTCACCGCGTGCAGCTGGATGGATGTGAGGTTTCTGCTCCACAAAGTAAACAGCTCGCACTCCTCCCTCTCGTGCGGGGAGGTTGGAGCGCGTGGTCGTTTCAGCGCGTCTGTACAGGAAATCCACCGTAAAACGGAAATTACTTTTTTTTCTTCAAAAAAGTGGGAAAAAGGCAATAACTGTGTTTTTTCTAAACGGAAATGAGAAGATGTGGAACAATAAATACGTATAATTTATCAGACATTCGTAAAGTAGAAGTACGTGTTAGTCAGAAAGGCCCTTGAAATAAATTACTGGATTATTATTATTGATGCCTTTATGTGTTCATTACAGCTGGTAAATGTGCTATTTCTAATTGTATATATATATTTGAATATCATATATACTGTTGTTGGATATTTAAACATAGACTTGTATATACATATTAATTTATACATTTTTTGTACATGTTTTATAAGCTAATTATCTAATAGTTTTGTTCTCATTTTTCACTTTTGGATATTTAAATCTAAAAACGTTTATTTATTAGAGTTTTGTATACATTGTATTAGCTAATTATCTGGATATGTAAAGTAACTAAAGTTTTCAACCAATTGTAGTGAAGTACAAATACAGTATTGGCTTAAAAAATGTACTTTACTGGAAATAATAATATATTTTATTTATAGAGTGATTTAAAAAAGGTACCTCAAAGACTACATGCTGAAATTAATATACTCTAAAAAGAAACCACCGTAGATATTAAAACACATAATATGAATTACACATTAAAAGCAGCTCTACAAATGACACTACTTCAAGTACAAGTCAAGTGAATAAATGAACTTCTGGATATGAGAATATTCCTCAAGACTTCAATCATCTTTATCCAAATCAATGAAATGCAGCACTTCAGGATGTCTGTACATCACATCATTGAGATGTGTCACTTTAATATTCATTACGGGGAGACTGGGTCCAAACTATAATTTAAAAACTGAGTTCAGGGTAGTACAACTGAAATGTGATTTTCTAATTTAGGGTGTAATTTCCTGTTAAAGCTGCAGGTCTGTCTGACAGCTTTCTCCACACACACTTTCAGATTCAGACTGCATCTCTATCCTACACCAGACAGCTGCTTCAGACACGCTGTAATATGTATCTGAAGTTATTAACAACACATTTTATTCATATGGGAATGTGATTTGTACGAGTGTATAGTAGAAAGTCTCTGCTAGATGAAGTGAAAACTGCACATGACTCACTCCTTGCGTTCAACAGAGCTTTATAAAGTCATAGTTGTGCGTCCACTGTGACGGTATATCCACCATAAAGCATGTTTACGTAACTGAGAGGAAGGTCTGTCCTCTGCACCGTGACTCACTGAGCCTCTTGTTCTTCTGCAAAAAATATACTTTAGTTATGAACACACCTGAGAGCTGTCAGTACCTGAAGAGGAAGACTTAGTCAGATCCTTAAGTCTAAGTATTAATACCACTAAAAGTACTCTGTTACAAGTAAAAGTCCTGCATTGGAAATGTTGCTTAAAGGTCACCTATCATGCTATTTTTAGGCAATAGCATAGGTCTCAAAAGTGCTGATTTGGGGTATAAAGCTTTAAAAAATGTTTTTTGATAATAACAGAGGAGGGGTCTGAGCTCATGCGGGACCCGGCAGCTACTGTCTAAACTAAATGCTGCCGTGATGAAACGCCATATCATGGATTATCAAGGATTCTCTCTGAAACAGTTTGGAGCTCAAAGGCTTTCTCGCTCGCCGGTTATACCACAAGGTGAGTTCCTTTTTACTTCCTGCTTCTTCACACACATGCTCTCCAGTACAGGTTAGCTCTGAGTGTTAGCGATGCTAATGTAAACACCGACCATATTACGTCCAAAACAGTCGGGCATTGTTTCTGATAGCAACGTTTCTGATTGGGCCGTGGGTCCACATTTCAGATATTACGTCATATCGGACGCAAATCTGGATCAGCTCCGTTGTTCCCCCGTTTTTAGAGATTTGGGTACGGAGGAAAAGAGAGAGGGTTTTATTTTCTGACGCTGCGTGAGTTCCCCGACACACCGGGGACACATTTTGATGTATAAAAGACATTTTGCATGATAGGTCCCCTTTAAGTTAAAGTAAGTATAGCTGGCAAAATGTTGTTAAAGTATTCAACGTAAACAAAAGAAAACCCAATGCAGAAAAAAGTTTTAAAACATTCAAATAAATTGATATAATAAAGCAGAACTAAATATAAACAATATATGTTATAATTAAAAATAATAAAATTAACGAAAATGTTTAAATGTGCTAATTAATCATCTTTTAATTGGCTGGATTATGCAGAAAAATATTGAATAAACAAATGCAAATTCCAGATAAATTGGAAAACTAATTTGGCTGGATTTACTTTAAAATATCATATTTTATAACTTTTTATGCAAAAATATTCTTTATTAAGAAATTATTTTTTTTTAAATAAATGTAGTTAAATATTTCCCTTTGAATACTAGGAGAGTAAAAGTGCCATGATAATAACATACTAAAGTTAAGTAAAAATACCTCCTCTTTGTACTTTAGTCCAGTACTATAGCCAACATGCAGCAGAAATAATACAATACAAATACTTACCAACATATGTATGGATGCCAATGAATTACCTCTCAATTGGCTGTAACTATCGACTAAGCTGTTCTTGTACAAACTATATTGGCTAATTTAAGTTATTACCAAATATCATAACTTGCGTATTTCAATAATAATAGATGTATTTTGTAAGTGCTTTTACAGGTGCTCAAAGTCGCTTTACAGACAGAGTGAAAAGAAAAACAAATAAATATAGTTGAGGTCAAATAAAAATCAAGCGATGCAACAATCACACATTAAAAGCCAGATTGAAGAGGTGAGTTTTTAAGTGATTACAATTGTAAAATACATTTAGTAAAGTTACTCATGTTAATGTATGTAATATTTCTCTTTGAATTATAGTGAAATTGATCAGTGTTCAGTACAGTAAAAGTAGTCCATGCGTCATTCCCTTTATACATTGACTGCAGTGGGGTTTGAACCTGTTCCCAACACCAACGCACAACCCACTGCCTCCCACGGTTGTACCATTCTTTCCGAGCAGGGGATCAAACCCACAACCCCCCGACTTTCATATTTGATCAGAAGACAGCAGGGAAAGCCAAACTAGAAGAGATGACCACACACACACACACACACACACACACACACACACACACACACACACACACACACACACACACACACACACACACACCACACACACACACACACACACACACACACACACACACACACACACACACACACACACACACACACACACACACACACACACACACACACACACACACACACACACACACACACACACACACACACACACAGCAGGAGATAAATGTGATCCAGCGGACAATCTGAGAGAAAACCATCAAAGAACAACGGAGAAAAAAGTGAATCTGCTGAGATCAGACAAACAGGAAACAGATATGTTTCATGAGGAGACTATTAAAAACATCCATGCTGTGCGAGGGCTGCAACCTCCAAACCAATGAGGTGTTAAACAGGAACACACACACACACACACACACACACACACACACACACCACTGGAGTTATAATATAAATCCTGTACCTGGCTGTTCTTGTATCCTTTGAATAATATATCACTTAATATCACCTACAGACATTTTGGATCCTGAACAAAAATGTTTTGTGTGTGCGTGTGTGTGTGTGTGTGTGTGTGTGTGTGTGTGTGTGTGTGTGTGTGTGTGTGTGTGTGAAGCTGATTCAAGTAACAGAGAAATAGACGAACAATGTGTTGCGTTTGTTCAATTGGAAACGTTTCGTGTTCATTTGGTTCAAAGGGTTCATTGTTATTCACCAAAGTCACAATAACACACAAATACATAAATCAACTATTTTCATTAGTCAGTTTATTGAACATGTCAGAAACAAAAACATACAACAATAATATATATATTCTCTTGTTTTCCTTTCTTTTTTTTTCTCACTCAATTAATAATTATAACAAAGTACAAAAAACAAATAACAGAAAAACAACAATAATTCTCAGATAGTCGGTCATGTTCAACAGGGGCAAGAAGAAGCTTAAAAAACGTTCCTGGTCCTCCCCACTCTAGCATATATGTTCCTTATAAATAAAACATTAGGTCATCGTCGACATGTTTGTCTTGTAATTTGTTTTCTTTTTTACAAAACAATCAAATAAATTACTTTTACAACACACACACACACACACACACACACACATCACTTCAGGGGACATTACATTGACTTACATGCATTTCCTGGAGACTAATCCTAACCTTAACCATAACCAACACATGCCTAACCCTAACCCTTAGCCTTACCCTAACCCTAACCAAGTCTTCACCCTAAAATTAATGATTCCCCTCATGGGGACCTCCAATTTGTCCCCATAAGGGAAGCCAGTCCCCACACGTGACTATGTAAACAGATGTAGGTCCCCACAAGTATAGTAATGCTAGACCACACACACACACACACACATTCCTAATATGTCTTAACAAGAAAGTGTGTATTCTCACCAGGTTGATATATTATCAGCAGACAGATGTTTTTGTGCTTCTTCTGGATTTCCAAGCCAACAACAATCAATGACCTTGCTGAAATATTTGTTTTGTTTGGCTCCATCTGGATCCCACTGACACGGGAGGTCAACGTCTCACTCCCCGATGAAAGGAACTTGGCAATGAATAAAATAATTCATAATTAAGATGCTCGGCACACACTGGATAGGTGTGTGTGTGTGTGTGTGTGTGTGTGTGTGTGTGTGGTGTGTGTGTGTGTGTTTCAGGACAATATCTCCAACAGATGGAAACCCAACACAGGCTCAATTAATCAAAGTCAGAGACGGTTTTGATAAACGAGGAAGGGAAATATATTACGATTCATTTGGCCGACATGTTATTCTGATAAGGAACGTCGTTGTCACAGAGAAGAATGGTTTCTGTGGTAAAGCCTCAC